ATCAGTGAGGCTTATGAACAAAACAATGATTCAGACAGTGATAACTGCCCAATCATACTTATTTTGTTCTGATTATTTAAAATAAGAACTATTTTATCTCAATTACTTAGGAGAATCCCTCTTAAACTCAGAATATCAAAGATTCTTTTCTTACATCTCCAAATATTCCTGTAAATAATTCCTCTCCAGTCTCAACAGACTCAGATTCAACAAATATTTCTTGAATACCAGCTAACATTTATTGAGAAATACTCTGTTGCAGGCACTGTTCTAAGATACTTTTATCCATATGATATTAGAATTATTCCCATTTTACAGATAAGAAAAGGGAGGCACACAGAGGTTAAATAGATTTCCCAAGGTCACATAGTTGAACATAAGCAATGTGACTGTGCAGCCTGCATTATTTACCTCTACAAATACTGTGTCAAACCTTTTATAAACTTTGTTTTGTTTAATCCTCAAAACACCTTTAATATATGTTATTTTATGGAAGACAAATTGATACATAACAAAACCATAGATTAAACAAAATATAAATTAAAGCATGGAACTAAAACCCCAAACTCCAACTCTTCATTCAGTGATCCTTCTATGACAGCATGGAATTAAGGGATGTTACCCACATGGGTTCAGAAGATAAAGGAGGAAACAGTCTAGTACTGTCGAACCCTTATCATGTTCCAAGCACTCCATATATCTCCTAGCATTTACTCGTCTCAACAGCTCTGTAAGATATATTCATCCCACTTGATAGATTATGAATTTAAGAATCAAAAAGGTTAAATAAATTGTCCAAGATTATATAACTGAGCTAAGGTATAAATCTAAACTGGCCTAGCCTAAAGCCAAAGGCTTTTGAGTAGGAATGTGACATGACAGAAAGAAATGCAGACTAACAAGGAAGGAGAAGGCAAGGGAAGGTCTTAAGGATATGGTGACACCCTCTCCTTCATGTAATTTTCCTATTATACTCCTATTTCCTAAGTTTCCCAAATATACCCTTTCCCTTTCCCAAAGACTCTGCCCCAGGATTTTTTTTTTTTTTCTCTGATACCTCTTTTGGTCTCTTGGGCTCCATCTTTAGAGTCATTTGAAAGCATCAGAAAGAAGGAGGGGATAAAGAGGACTACAGGAGGGACGAGCAAGATAAAATAATCTCTCCTGGTTTGGTAGTGTTCTCTGATCATGGGAGGAAGAGGAGGAGAAGCACCTTTCTTTGTCCTGATGCTCCAACTTTCTTTCATATATACTCCCTAAGTTTTTTTTTCCTAACCATCCTGGTCGTCTGGGAGGACACTGAGTCAAAGACATCTGAATAAAGTGAGTAGATTCTGTTAGCGGATGCATTCCTCTTCAAGTGGTCAATTTTCTCATACTTACTTTTTCTGTCCAATACATTCATGTTTCCATTCCTCTCTGCACCTGATAAAACCCCAAGCCCATCAACATTTTTCACATCTGATTTAGTCTATTGATAATGTAGACCAATATCACTTTCTTCATCTTTTCTACTTATAGCTGGTGTCTTTATTTAGTCATACTCTGCCTGCCCTCCCTATACCTTTTATGATCTCCCATTCTTAGTCTGTCCTTTCTATAATAGAGTTATCTTGACCTAATCTCTTATTGGATCTGTTGTCTATGTAGCAAATTTAGCCTACCAAATATCATGCATCTTATCTACAGGTGATCCAATCTCTCTACCTGGAATAAAACTTCCTCGTGTTTTATCTGACCCTTTGGATCTACTCACTCTTCTACATTTGATGTGTTTCCTCATGTATTATTCTAACTCTGTCCATTTTGTTGGTAATCCATATAAATTATCTAATTCTGATCATTTCCACACAGCTCCTTTTTACCTTCTGCCTTCTTTATATTCCATTCCATTCATCTATTCTTCCCATGACATACATGCATCCATACAACCTTTATATTACCTTACTAATCACTTACTAAAGCAGACCCTAAAATAGGAACTATTGTCAAAAGGAGAAAGAAAAATACCAGTAAATAATCCATATCTGTAGAAATATAGAATGAGAATAGTAATGATAGGAACTCACCAACTGTGAAGAGAAAAGAAGAAAGAGAAGGACAGCTAATGTCTCTTTGAGGAGATGCCACATGAGCCAAGACTTGGAGGCCAACTAGGAGTGAGCCATGCTCGTGGAGACTGCAGCATGAGTCAAGCTACAGAGCTAATACACATGCTGTGGCAAGAGATACAGTTTTGGATAGCTGTGGCAGGTCATGTAGTACTTATAAACCTTGTTAAATGACTTGAACATTATTGTGTGGGCACTGGGGTTCTATGAAAGGGTTGTGAGTGGGGGATTAAAATGGTCATGTTTGATTTTTAGGGGAGAGACTATACAGGCAGTGATACTAATTAGGAATCCATGAGTGAGAGGCTAATCTTTTGTTCAAGTGTGCAGAGCACCAGATGTGAATGTAGAAAACATTTAAAAATAAGCAGAAAGGTCTGGGGTCAAGAGGGTCAAGTGCACAGTGAATGGCATATGATGCAGGTATTGAGGAGAAAGAATCACAGTTACAGTATAAATGGCAATTGTACTTTTGAGATTGTTATTTATGAAGCTAGTGTATAATGTAGGGATAGGTATGGCAGCTTACTCTTTCAGAGATGTAAAGATGAAGATGTGTTCTTACCACTAGACTATGAGCTCCCTGAAGACTGAGTATATGTCTTATTTACCTTTTATGTATATATGTCTTAGCCTGTGGCCTGAAATACAGCTGATCCACCATAAATTTTGAAATAAATAAATTGTGGATGTGGGTGGGAAGGATGGGAGCAATGGGAAATATAAGCCAAGGATATGGTATTTTGTAGTTCCACTGAAGTACTCTAGCATTGTGAGACATGCCAAGGGCTCAGTATTGAGTAATACTCAAGTATTAATCACAGAGAATAAAAAGAAGAAAAAACTTGGGTATACAACCATTAGCAAGTTTAATGCTTTTATATTCCATATGTAACTGAGATATAGTCAGTATTTATTTTTCTCTGTCTGACTTATTTCACTTAGTAGAATGCCTTTAAGGTCCATCCATGTCATTGCAAGTGGCAGGATTTCCTTCCTTTTTATGGGTGAATAATATTGCTACACACACACACACACACACACACACACACACACACACAGCTTCTAGTTATGGATGAATAACTTCTGGGCACATCATGTACACCCGTATATGTACAGTTAACGATCCTTGTAGGTTGTGATAAGAGTAGAGTTTTAGTGTTCTCATCATAACAACAAGAACAAAATGGTAATTCTATGAGGTAAAGGATGTAGTAACTAAACCTATTGTGGTTCACATTTCACAATAGATACTTGTATGAAATCATCACATTGTAAAATTTAAATGTATACAAGGTTATATGCCAATCATATCTCAATAAAACTGGAAAAAAATCATTTGCAGGTTGAAGTCTGAATTCTGATGTGTGAGCACGGTTGGCCCTGCAAACCTCTTAGAAACAGGCCTAAAACTAAAAAGTAAAGACTCTTCTGAGGGAAAATAGCACCCAGGGGCTCAGCTGATTCTTCACTCATTCTCTGTTCTAGTCTGCACTCCCTTCCAATGCTACAACTGTACAGAGGCAATAGGGAGACAATGTTGTCTTCATATCATCTCCCATATGGACATGTCAACATTAGATCCGGAAGAGGCTTGAAGTTTGAAAAGAGCAAATTTTATTTTTGACACCAAGGTAAACAAAGAGAGTATTCTACTAAGTGTATGCTTTGGTCTTGATACTGTCAAAATTATTAAATGAAGATGCCATTAGACTAGATGGCTATAATGCCTTGGTAGCCAACGTAGGTAAGCAAACCAAAACTTACCTGTCAATTATAAATGTACTCATATCCCAAAAAACAAAATTTTAAAACAATCAGTCATAAACAGCCAACTAGGTCTTCCCAAATGAGGCAACCACTTAAGCTATGACCGATCAAATACTGTCCTTGCTTTGCTTTATAAAAGCCTTTTCCCTAATTTCTGCCAGGGGAGGGCACCTAACCATTTGCAGTTTGACACTGCCTGACTTGAATTAATGTTTGCCCAAATAAACTCTTGACAATTTTAATGTACCTCAGTTTAGCTTTTAACACTAAAGGAAGGTGTTCTGCTTTCATTCCAAGAGAGCACAACTTTCAGAACCACTGGGCATCTCTGTTCTTCTGCCATCCAGAATCTGCTTGCTAAGATGATTTCAAGGCGGGTCCCAAATCCTTCTCTTAAGTACGAGGTTATGTAGGACTTCCACTCTACATATGCTGACCTTTTGGGGTTTTACTTTGTTCCCTTGCAGGAAATGACCTGCTTCCTTAACTGAGCCTTAAAGATTCCCTCCCTTGGATGTAAATCCAGGATGTATCTTGGATTTCCTCCTTCATTCGCTTGAATGTTTTAGATAGATGCTCTGAGGTCCTGACTTCCCACCTCTTACTATCTGTATGACCTGGAATAAGTCACTTAACTATGTCTCAGTTTCCTTAGGTTTTAAGTAGAGATACAACTCAAGGTTCTTCTGAAGATTAAGTGGATTAATATCTGCAAAATTTTTAGAACTGTACTAATTAGTAATACATAGTAAATACCCAATTGTGTTATATGTTATTGTTATTCCTCCATTATACAACTAATTTCCTCAAAACAGAGTTGCAATCCAGCTCATAAACTTTCATAATTAGGATATCACACACTCTTACTATTTTTTTTTTCTTTCTATATTCTCTGGAAACCAACTAGTGTCATCTTTACCTGGTGCTTATCAATGCATGCTTCTCCAAGTACCCAAACAGAATCCTATCCTATCCCCAATATAAAGTAATTAATTCTTGTCCACTTTTGTCTTAACTCATTTCCAGATTGCAGAAGAGAGCAGTGGCCTCAGCTCAATGAGAAATCATAAGCACTACATACATTGCATTTTACCAATACAACCCACCAAAAGAGGTTCTTGTTGATGCCTCCTGAAGATACTCTGTTCTCCCTCCTGAAGAGCAGTGGGCAAGACCAACCCCATGGAACGAAGGAACCAGAGTGGGAGAGTTAGTGAGTTTGTGTTGCTGGGCTTTCCAGCTCCTGTACCATTGCGGGCACTATTGTTTGCCCTTTCTCTGCTGGCCTATGTGTTGGTGCTGACTGAGAACACACTCATCATTATGGCAATTAGGAACCACCCCACCCTCCACAAACCCATGTACTTCTTTCTGGCTAATATGTCCTTCCTGGAGATCTGGTATGTTACTGTCACTATTCCCAAGATGCTAGCTGGGTTTGTTGGATCCAAACAAGGCCATGGACAGCTAATCTCCTTTGAGGGTTGCATGACACAGCTCTACTTTTTCCTGGGTCTGGGCTGCACTGAGTGTGTTCTTCTTGCAGTTATGGCCTATGACCGCTACGTGGCCATCTGCCACCCTCTGCACTACCCTGTCATTGTCAGTGGCTGGCTGTGTATGCAGCTGGCAGCTGGCTCCTGGGCTGGAGGTTTTGGCATCTCCATGGTCAAAGTTTTCCTCATTTCTCGCCTCTCTTACTGTGGCCCCAACATCATCAACCACTTTTTTTGTGATGTCTCCCCATTACTCAACCTTTCATGCACTGACATGTCCACAGCAGAGCTAACAGACTTTGTCCTGGCCATTTTTATCCTGCTGGGACCGCTCTCTGTCACTGGGGCCTCCTACATGGCCATCACTGGTGCTGTGATGCGCATTCCCTCAGCTGCTGGGCGCCATAAAGCCTTTTCCACCTGTGCCTCTCACCTGACTGTTGTGGTCATCTTCTATGCAGCTAGTATCTTCATCTACGCCCGGCCAAAGGCCCTCTCAGCTTTTGACACCAACAAGCTGGTCTCTGTACTCTATGCTGTCATTGTACCATTGCTCAACCCCATAATTTACTGCTTGCGCAATCAAGAGGTCAAGAGAGCCCTACGCCATACTCTGCACTTGTACCGGGGCCAGGATTCTAAGCTTGGGAAAGCTAACAGAGATGGGTAGAAGGGAAGTGTTAGGGCTTAGAAAATGTTCTTAAACTTGGGATCTGTGTCTTCTATGAAGTCCAGAGGAGCTTGTAGGTCCTACATTAGGGACTAGAGTTTTAAAGACTTTACCAAGGAACTAGTCCAATAGGAGGAAGAGGAATGGATTGCAAGCTAGCAGCTAGCAGTGGGATTTCTGTGTAATTTACAGAAAGCAGGTTTATGAATCATTGACTGAGCTGAACTTCAATATTTAAACAAACAAGTAAATGCAGAACTGGGATCTCTCTACATGGCCTTTCTTGGGTTTGAACTTGGTTTTAGTTGTGAGGCAGAAGGTTTAGAAAAGGGAAGCAGAAGGAGGAAGCCAATCAGGAAAGCACAGATTTCACTATGAAAAAGTATCAGGAGACTCTGAATGATATTTCTTCTAGCCATAGGCCACCAACTACAGCCTATGAGGTAACAGGGCCCAGGAGGTGAGCATTCTAGTATGAATTACAAGGTAAGAAGATAGGGAACTGAGAATTTTTGTGTTGGTAACATATCACTTCCTGGGCTACAGAGGTTTTAGCTTCATTTCCTGATTTACTGAGGTCAGAGTACACATTGAACTAGAGACTGAGTGCAGTTATTTAATCTTCTGTCTCCATAATTAGATTGTAAGCTCCATGGAGGCAAAGGTCACATTTTCTTATTCATTATTCTATTACCATGATGCAGGACAGTGTTCTAGCACATGGTGGCTGTGAAGAAACACAATAAATGAGTATGATTTTGAACCAGCCATGTAGGAAAGGCATGTGTGTCACAGCTACAGATAAGGTTGGCAGGTGCAGAAACTAAACCCTTCCAGCTTCACTGGGGGATCAGGAGGTACAAATCGGCTCAATCTTGCTGGAAGGAAATTTGGCAATACTAGTATCACAAACACTAAAAATGTTGAAAGTATTCTGACTCAGAAAGATTTGTAGAGATAGACACACAATGTATAATCTATAAATTATTTAAGCAATTCTTTATTTGTAGAAGTTCAACATATTTTTGTGTTTCTGTTATTATAAATAAAACGCATTGCCCTGGCCAATTTGGCTCAGCAATTATAGCATTAGCCCACAGGCTAAATTTTCAGGTTTCAGGTTTGATTCCCAGTCAAGGGCACATACCTGGGCTTCAGGTTCAATTCCTGGCCCCAGTCAGGGTCGTGCGGGAGGTAACCAATCGATGTGTCTCTCTCACATTGATGTTTCTCTCTCTCTCTGTCTCTTTCCCTCTCTCCCTCCCTCCCTTCCATTCTACCTGAAAATAAATGAAAAACATCCTCGGGTGAGGATTAACAACAAAACAAATGCTCTGAACTTTCCTCTTTGATACCCGGTCATCATGAGCACAGGTTAATGTGTGCAGCTGGTGGCTTTTTCCTATATAACTGGTTTCATGATCACTGTGATCAAGGTCTAATTCATTTCACATGTCACTTGGGGTTTTGGCTCCAATGCCATGAACCACTTTTACTGTGACATCTCATCAGTCCTCAAACTGACATGCAAAGACGTGTCCACAGCTGAGCTAGTAGACTTTGCTTTTAGTTATTGTCATTCTTGTCTTCCCTTCACCATCACCATCTTCTCCAATTTTCTCCACCATTCTGTGTGTACCCACAACCCAAGGAATAGAGGAAGCCTCCTCCACCTGTGCATCCCACCTCATTCTAGTCATAAATTATTACACGGCCACGACTGTCATGTCTGTTCAGTCCAGAGCTGTCACATCATTTAATTCCAACAAACTAATCTTAACTACATATGCAGTCCTCACACACATGCTAATCCCTACATCTACTACCTTAGGAATGAGGAAGTCAAGAATGCTATCAGAAAGACTGTGGGTGTTGGCCAGTGCCTCCTGCTTAGGAGAGACCTGCTGCCTTGAGGGGGAAACAGTGTCCCAGCAAGGATAACATGGCATTCCTATGACATTTATCACAATTCTGCATAGTAGCTTCCACTATAGGTCTGGATTCTTAAAGTCACAGCATGGGAAGAGAGAGAAAAATTAAGAATTGAAACATGACACTAGGTGCTGCTTTTATATCAAACTGTTTAATATACACTGCATATATTTAATCAGTACTTTGGAATGACAGAGTAATAATAAATGTTAACATATGTTAAGGTGGTGTTATTAACACTTTACATCTAATAAACTATTTTATGCTCATAACACCTCTATGCGTTATGATTAGTTACCTGATTTTACAGAATAGGAAACTGATTTACACACAAAAAAGGTGACATAAGTTGTCCAAGATGCATCCTTAATAAATATGAAAGCTGTTATTTGAACCCAGGGAGTCTAGCTTTTTAATGCACTGTATTAGATTCTCTCTATCTAAGGTCTGTAGTAGTAGCTCTTGGGACTCATCAGTTAACAAACACTGATGCCTGGTAGGAACCAGAAGTCCAGTCAGTAAGTTATGAGTAGGGGTGATGATAAGTGATAGTGTTGTTGTTGTTGTGGTGGTGGTGGTAACAGTACTGTTTGTGATTATATTGCATTAGTAGTGATGGATTACCACTGATCTTAAAAATAGGGTTGAGCATTTCTCTCTCAATTTTGGCCTCCTTCCAGGACAATAAGAGCTCCTCTCTCTCTCTCTCCCCCCCCCCTTCTCGCTCTCCCTCTCCCTCTCTCTCTCTCTTTTAATCTTTACCTGATAATGTGTTTATTAATTTCAGAGATAGAGGGAGGGAGAGAGAGAGAGAGAGAGAGAGAGAGAGAGAGAGAGAGAGAGAGAGAGAGAGAGAAAGAGACATGGATCAGTTGCCTCCTATATGCACCCCAACCAGGGATCAAACCTACAACGTAAGTATGACCTAGAATCAAACCCACAACTTTTTGGTATACAGGATGATGCTGCAACCACCTGAGCCACCTAGGATGAAATCAATTACAAGAATGAAATAAATAGTTCTTTCATGAGAGATGAAAGAATCGGCATTATTGCAACTTTTGCAATTGATATGCGTCCCTTGAGACGCTCTCTTTTGGGCTTTTGAATTATTGTGGGCTTCCATGCAATATAGTGATTATTGTCAGAAAATTAATGGAACGTTATTCCATCACTATATGTCTGAGTGAAACCCTCAGTACATCAGTATAACACTATGTGCTACATAGAAATTAGGTGAAAACCAAATACAAAATTTTCTAAGACAAATGTCAGTGTTAGATATCATTAGGGGACCTGCTGAGTAGATAAGTAAATGTAGTGTACAAGGGAGAGTTCTATAAAATTGATCAAACTGAGACCAGTTTGTGAAAGAAATAATAAAGAGCTACCTTGACCCTATATCCTGCCTATTTTAAGTGGGAGTCTAAAATTGGTCTCCTAGTTTGGACCTAAGCCACTCTCAACATTATGCAACATTCCTGGACTAATCTTTTTTACATATTACTCTTCTAATGTTACTCTGCTACTTAAGAATCCTCAATTTGAATGAAATAAAACCTACTCATTTGATTTATTATTATTATTTTGGAATTATTTTAGCATTCAGAACCCCTATCTACACTATTTCAACTTTGATTTTTACTGATCCTCAATATGAAACATCATTCTGGTATTAGTCACCTTAATGTTCTCAATAATTACATTAAACTAATTCTTATCTTGTTTAATTCATTCACTCAATATGTTTTGTGCCCTTATTTCTTGCCAAGTATGGTAATAGCTTATAAGAATATAGTGGTCAACAGCAACAAAAATAGATACAGATCCCTCCATCAAACAGCTATCATGAATAGGGAAAATAGAGGCACAATTACTTTCTGAGTTATCAGTGTGATGATGCAAGTACAGGATGCTATGGAGGCAAATGGTAGATAGACCTAGGGTGAGCAGAGAAAATGTACCAGCAACCCTGGCCAGTTTGGCTCAGTGGTTAGAGTGTCAGCCTGCGGTCCAGAGATACCCAGGTTCAGTTCCCACTAAGGGCATGTACCTCAGTTGCAGTTTGTCCCCAACCCTGGTTGGGTCGTGCGGGTGGCAGCCACTCGATATGTCTCTTTCACATCGATGTTTCTCTCTCTCTCTCTTCCTCTCTCTCCTTCCTGCTCTATCTGAACAAAAAATGTCCTCAGGTGAGGATTAAAAAAAAAAGAAAGAAAGAAAATGTTCCAGCAGAAGTAGCATTAGGCTAGCACTTGAAGGAATTAGACAGAGATAAAATGGGGGGAGTAGTGAAGATCAAGGCTGCAGAGACATGGAAAGCCAAGAATCAAGAGACAGAACAGCCCACACAAAGACCTAAATGGTGACTAGCATACAGCAACATAAGGAATTAAGGGGTCACAGGAGGAAGTAGATTCATGTTTACCAATCCAAATCTAACTAATCTGTAAATTTTCTCTTACCGTATAGGTTTATGGATTTATAATCGGTTATGGATACATGGAAATGCTTCTACAGAGGCATTTTCAGTGTCTGCAAATATTAGCTCTTTGGTTCATGATGTTTCCACTAGGTGCATTGCTGTCACTGACAGAGTGAAGCAGGAACAAGGTGAGTTCATTTTGAATATTGAGCCTTGACTACAGCTGCTTTTTGTTCTGAATGACAGATGTCAATTTGTGTTTGACTTCCTGCTAGATTGTGAGTTCCTCCAGGGCAGAAACTAACCTTATTCCTCTTGAATCTACAACATCGGCCACAGTTCCTGACACACTATAGTCACCTGTGACAGGTTATCCTCTACTTACCAGTTCCCAGTTATCTAGTCTCTGCACTCTTGTACCCCTTTGTGTACCCCATCTCCGAGGGGGTGAGAGCAATTGATCCTAGAGAAGTATCACTCTGGCTCTCTTGGCTTCTGGCTTCCAATTTGGTTGGGTCAATGGGAAGCATCAGCAGGAAACTGAAGGATGCCAGTGAAGAAATGGCAAGGAATTCTCCCTGGGTTCTGTGACTCTGGCAATGACCACAACTCCTGCAACAGGTGCCCCTTCCAAGGCTGCAGCTGTCTCTCGGTATCTGCACTGCCAGTCCTTCTGGGGCCCAACACCCTTGTCGGTTTTCTTCACCTTGCCCAACCTCAGTGGATAGTTGCGGC